TGCTTGTACTCTCTCTCTGACAAATAAAATATAAAAAAATAAAATACTGATTTCTGGGGCCCACCCTAGGATTTGCCTACTGGAGGTGGGCTACAGAAGTAACAGCAAGCTCCTCTAGGTGATTACGATGCACATTGCAGCATGAGGATGACTGGTATATACAGTATGCTTTCCATTATTACAAATATGAACTTTAATTAGAAGACAATATTGGTGAATGTTTACTGAAATTCAGAAGGCCTATAACCGTGTTTATCTTTTTAACTATGAAAAGACTGACAGATTTATACATAGCATTTGAAATATTTCCTTTAATAAAGAAATACAAGATAAAAAGATGAGGGAATGTAATATTAGATGCACTTTTCTTGACAACACCATGTTTGGCCATGCATTCACTCCTTCCAATATGAGTAAAATGTATTCAAGTTCTCTTTTTGTGATCACACAAAATGGTGAGCCAGTCCTATGCCCTTTGGCTTTGTTTTCATTTTTTCCATTGTGTGATGTCATTTTGGGGGATCTTCATGTCTTCAGACCATTCTTCAAGGTTGCAACAGCCTGATGGGTGCCAATTGGGCTGGACTCTGGTTGGAGTGAGCTGAAATTCCAGGGACTAACTGTACCAGTTTGACAAGACAGGATGAATCCATTCTTCTGGTGCTCAGAGGGCTGGTGCTCAGGTAGGCTGTGGAAGGGCTCACTTAAGCCACACTGCTCCTCAGGGTGGGTCTGACTATGGTTTCCCTGCTCCAGCCTGCAGCAGGCACAGACTGTCCTAACCTGATGAATGGCCTGTCCTGGACATAGTTGGAAGACAACAACTGTCCTCATTGCAGGTCAGAGCACTTTGCCTTTCCTTTCTTCTCCCTTTCTCTTTTGGGGAACTTTGTGTGAGGGAAGAGATAAAGCCCCAAAGATTCCTAACTGGAAACATGGGTCATGATAGTCTTCTGCTAAGCAATTGTATGAACTGGGTCTGACCAGGTAACTTGGAGATAAAGCAAAAGAGGCTGACCCTTCTCTCAGAGTCCAGTGAAGGAACTCCCAAAACAATTGAAGTGAAAATGAGGACAGATCTCAGACAAGACCTCCCTCATTCCTCTCCCACCTACCTTGCTCAGACTCCCAGAAGGGCCTCTGTTGGTACCTTTAGCTCTGTGTGTGCTTGGTGTCGTAGTTCTGATGTCTGCATGAGCCCAGGGTCAGAGATATAGGAAACCCTGGGTAAAGGAAGCTTGCAAAAGCATGTGGTCCTACAGTTCAGGAGAAAGGGGGCATCACCTTCTGTATGAACAACACCCCTGCACTGCAGACCCGGCCTCAAACTTGGGGGCCAGCGCAGTCAAGCTGTGAATTGGTAAGATGTTTTTGAAAGCAGTGATGGTGGAGGAAACAATTGTGACCCTTGCTCTTTAGGTGTTATTACCTAAAGATGGGTCTTATTACCTAAATATAGCAATTATTACCACTTTTTTTTGATATCCTAAAAATTGGTTGGGCAATAAGGTGAAGATAAAATTCAAATTCTTGGGTTTAGGAAGGCAAAGTGGTTAAGTGTACAGCCTTAGAACCAGAAAAACTTGGGTTCCAATCTCGGCTCTTCCCCTTATGACATGTGACGTTGCATAAATCATAAATTATCTTTTTTTTTTCTTTTAGGACACCTACTATCTTTGAAATGGGCCATTCATGGGCTCCCTGGAAATAGAACTGTAGATCAAAGAGAAAATTTCTTCTCCACCACCATCATTGCTGTTATCATCGTCATAATTATCATCATCATCATCATCATCATCATCATCAAGGAATGGTATTGAGTGACTATTCAATGGATTCCTGTTAGGCACAGGCCACATACTGTGAAGATTTCTAAGGATCAGTGGGCAAGCCCTGGAAACCCATCATCTGAAAGGGTGAGGCCAATATAATGGGAAAGCACTGGCTAGAATTGGATTCTCTGCTTATAAGAAGTGTGAACCCAGATTGGTTCATTCATCTCTAAAATGAGTATAACCCTACATAAACCCATAAGACTGTTGTGGGAAGTAAATGCAGAAAACTATATGAAATTCCTGGCATGCAACAGACCCTTAGAGAATGTTAGATCTTTGATCATCATTATCAAGTATCATCATCATCATCATCATCATTATTGGATGATCCTGAGATTATATTCAGATAAGAACTCAGAAAGTCTGTGATTCCTTGACTCCTTATCACCCTTCCAAAAGAAAAGTCTATTCTTGTTTCTTTCATTCAACCTTATCCCTTAGTAGCAAATTTTACACAAACTAAGTAGCAAATAGTACATAAACTAAATGGAATAACTGTCATTCATTAGGAATTATAAGAGAAATATTTGAATCCTATATACATTTACAACATTTATGCATTCTGGTCCCTTTTGTGTATTGTAGGATGAAAAAAAATTCCTTCCACATTTCCAATTACTTAGTTACCTGCCTGAAAATTTGAAATAACGAAGAAAATCTCACTTTCATGAATTACAAAACATGATGTAGAAACATCTCTTTGACATGGAAAGCTGTTTCTGACTATCATACTGTTTCATGAAAAAGCTAGCAGCAACCCACACATACACACATGGAGATTAAAGAGAAATATCAAACTATTTGAAGTGAATATTTCTAAATGGTATTATTATGGGAAATTTATAAGTTCATCTTTATCCTTCTCTGTATTTCCAGTTTTAACTTTTTCAATGAACATGTGTTTTTTTTTAAAGAGTTTATTTATTTATTTGAGAGAGAGAGAATGTGAAGGGGGAGCGGAGAGGGGGATGGAGAAGCAGACTCCCTGCT